CTCTTTAGGATTCAGTCCCAAGCTGTGCTAAAGCACTTACTTTTCTGTCGGCGGTGTCACCCAGAAACACGTAGCCTCTCCTGAAGACTTTCTCCTTTTCAGGACGCATGGCTGTGCGCAGGAGCAAAACTATTCTGGCGGTTTTAGGGCTCCCTGAACAAATCTGTCTGTTGGGAGTTTCGCTCCGGGGAGTGGAGCTGTCAGGCTGCGTGGGCATCTGCAGGGCAAGTCCAGTTCGGGTTTGGTACCAGCCATGCCCACCATGATGTTCAACTTCCCTGTTGTCCCGTAGAATGTTCTACAGAGCGATGCTTTCTTAAAGGGGGAATTCTACGAGTTTCAAAGTTATTTTTTTTCTTCTTTCTTGTACTGCTGCCTACACTCATTACGTGTCTCAAAAAAGCCATCTCCGTGACTCGCAAGAAGGAATTATCTTCAATATAAATGTACCCAAATTCTACCAAACAGAGATGTTAGTTTTGCTGTCTTGATCTCAGAGCAAAGTTATGGTTCTCTGGGAACTGCCATTGCCATGCCTTTTTGTATATTTAAAAATACAGATCTATGAACTATGAAAACATTACGTAAGACTATTTCTGTAATTCATATATAATAAGCCAGGCATAAAATTATTCTGATCCTTTGGGACATAAACCACTTCAATTTTCTCAGTAGTCAAAGGGTCGTGTTTTCCCTCTTTCTTTGGCTGGCATTTGAAGCCCACCAAATACATTTATTTTTTTTCATTCTTCATCAGATTATTTTTCATGTTTTCTGTGAAGCACATGAATCCATGTCTCATCATAATATTTTCCTAGTAAATATGGTTCACAGATAAAATTATGGGCCTGCTGAGGTCTGTGAGAATTTTCTGTATATTTCAACAGAACCAGGATTCCATCCAGTTCTTTTAAACAAGTTGCTTTGTGCTAAAAAATTTCAATAATATCTTTCTGACTCTGCCTGGGAACTCATAGGGAAGTGCTGTTTATGAACTGACACGTGGCGATCCTTAATTTATAGCAGAAAATGTATAAACGAAAAAATTACAGCTTAATTGTATGAAATAATAAACCTGAAAGCATTTACACTTCTTTATGAACGGTTGCGAGCATTAATCCACAAAATTCCTAATCTGTTTTAGATGATGAGATCCCAGGCTCTAGATAAACCACATATGAGGTGGTATGAATGTTAGGGCCCAATTCTGCTTCTGTTTGAAGTGAGCAATAAAACTTCTCTTGGCTTTAGGACTAAGAGTTTACAGATGATGAAAAGTAGAACTCAGCTGAGCAGGGAGATGTAGAAAGAATAGATTTTTGAAGTATTTTGTTACTTTTAAAAAATAAATATTAATTACATCAGATCTCTCTGGATCTGAACAAAATAAGTGGGAATTGACCTAGGCATTTTGGTTATAGTCATCTGTTTGTTCAAAGGATTCTCAAATGGATTCTCAAAAGGGTTTCTGGTTATGCCAATGCTTCTGTAACAGCCAGTATCAAGTAGTGAAAATTTTGCAGAAATTTGGAATATAAGATTTCACAGCCTGATTCCTCACAGGTGCTACCCAAGCTCCAGAGTTACTACTTCTGCAGACTTATGGCTGTGACGAGGAAAAAACATTTGCTTCAGGAGAGATTTCTTTTTGGTAGAACTTTGGGTATGGTAGCCGGGATTTAGCTACTCGTACTCTTCCATGTTCTATTTTTTTGCAGTAATAAAAAACCCAAAACTGTTAAGGAAACATTCACAAACACTAATTCATGGATGGATGAACCACTCTAGTTCCTAATGTAAGCAAACAGAGGTGTCGCCTTCTCTCATAAGCAAATGCGTTGCCTTGGGACCAGAGGTGGTGCAGAATGCCTGTACTGCATTTTGGCTGCTTTCCTGACTGAGGCATGCCACCTCATTTGCCTTTGTATTTTGCGTTTTTAAAAAATAATCTTAATTTGTTTAATAAGTGTTTAATAAGTTACTATTAAAAGAAGGTCCTGCTTGAGCTGCTGTGGGGGGTCATGAAGTTCACACAAGCCTCTTCTGTGGGTCTATGTTTAAACTGTATTTAGCCTGACTGGATTACTTTTACTTTTAGATGTGTGTTTTGGAAGTGAACATAACAAATGTTTTTGCTGAGTTGCTAATTTTCATTTGAATCACAATTTCTTTTATGAGCATGTAATACAGCTTCTGCCTTTAAGGTTGGAAACCAACTCAGTGAAAAACTACCTTTCCTCCCCCAGTTTAGGATTATATTGAAACACATGCTTGCATTTCCTTAGGGTTAGGCACATGCTTAATGAAGATGCATGAATCTGGGATAGGGTTCTTACAATAGTAAACATTACCATCAAATTTCCCCCAAATTCCCATCCCAAAGTACACCTCATTCTCACATGACTAGACCTTACTGTGTCATCAACTGCACATTTATGAAAAAAGAAAAAAAAAAGGTGAAGCAAAGTGGAGGTCATCAGTTTTAGAAATAAAAGTAGTCCAGGAATATGCATGTTGGTGGAACTTCAACTCAGTTATGGGACATTAAAGAAACACCTGAAGTTTCCTGGCACTGCTTATAAACTAGCAATTTATTTTCAATTGCATGCAATGACTTTTTTTTTTCTTCCTCTTTTAAGGCTCTGGCACCATGTTGAGTAAATAAAGTGCATACTAAAATACCGTCTAAATACAGCATGGGTATACAGTCACTGGAGAAATAGGAATAGTTTTTGGAAGGAGTCATTCTGGTCTCTTGAGGAAATAAGCAGTGGTTTATAACTCTTATTAAAAATTATTTTAAAGACAAAACTAAATTTAAAAAGCAACATATTTAAATAACATTCAGGTTGTAATAGAAATGGGGAGAAACCAGCAAATGTGAAGTCCAAGCTGACACTTGAAATTATGCTGCATTAGTCTTCAATTAGAATTCCCAACTTTTTTTTTTTTGTTCTATGTCAGAGCCTTAAGGTTATTAAAATTGCACGTTCTGTACCATATTTCGTTTAGATATTAAAAGCAGCCCTTCCAAGTTGTCTGCTGGAGTCAGCAAGTGTCATTCTTACACCCCTCGCTTGAAGCCTGAAGCTTCTGCCAAACATAGGACACGCTGGTGCATAAACATAAATGAATAAAACGAATGCATATATTTATCATATGTATTATAAACTCTAGGTGCTCTAACAATCGGTAGACAAACAAAATATTAGATCCACAAGCAAATCACTGAATACAATGGAACCGCCCTATGATACTTTTCCACTCCAGTAATTCCTTTCCTAGTCCATTCTGTGAGAAACGCTTTTTGAACAGCGTAATATAACATTTATTTTCTCTGTGTGACTGGAAAGACCTAGTAACTGAGAAATTAACAGTTATCTTTTATAGCAAATGGCACTTACCCTGAGCCTCTACTGAGTCTCTAGGTGGCCCTTACAGCGTTGGCATTTGGCTGCTTTTCTGCCTAGTTGTGTGGTCTCGGGCAGAGCGGATAAAGCCGTCCCGGACAGTGCCCTTGGTTTCGCATATGTTTCTTGGGTAGTAACACAAGCAGGACTCTCAATCACTAATTTGTCCCTTACTGATAAAATGAGTCAAGTGAGGGATACAACCGCAGCACTCCAAGCAGGTAGAAGACACCAACGTCCTCAGGTTTTTTTTCCACAGTTCTTCCCCTTTTTAATGCACGTGCCTCTTTGCAGTTCTGCTGTTTTATGGGGTTTTTGCAAACAGTCGCTCATTTCTGGTGGTTTCTTCCAGGCTTCCCATGGGGAGGGTCCCCTGACAGCCTCATTCCCTGATCTGTCTCTCTTGCTGCCACACCCCTTGCTTTCCAGAACAACACAGAGATCATGGTACTTCTGGAAGTGGGGAAAGTGTGACAGCTGATGAGTTTCTTCCTGGCTGGTTGGTGTCTTGAGCTGACTGAGCAGCCAAAGGAGCTCAGAGCTTTGGGAAGCAGCAGAAATGGTGGAATAAGGGAAGCAAGAAAGGCTGTTCCTATGCTAGTAATTAGGTTTGGAGCAGGGGTACTGTTTTGAAGAACCCAATAGTCTCCACTTACTGCACTTCTTGAAGTGGTTTTTTTTTGTGTGTGTGTGTGCACAAACTACTTTCTTTTCTGATACTGATACCTCATGATACTTAATGTCATATATGAAACTCTGCTGTCCTCATATGTCCTTTCAATATGCTCTATACAACGACTAAAATTTAGAGATCTGAAAAACTCTTAACACTGTGACTGCATCTGTGTAACTTCTGTCAAGGATTCAGAGTAATGCGTGAGAAAGTGTACTTTGAAATTACAGATGCATCTCTTTTAACCTCTACCTAAATATTCTTTTATGTTAGTTGCCTATCTTGTTGCACATCTCTTACCTTAAGCTTCATTACACTCAGATGCATTGGACCAATTCAGAGGGGCAATGTGACAGAGCTTGGGATGCAGTAATTCAGACAACAGGTGGATATAGCATGCGCATTGTATTCTGGATGTATATTATGCAAGAAGCTGTACAAAGCTGCTGAGTCTAAGGAACACGTAACTACACTGGATCTCCTGAGTCAAAGAGTTTAGTCCTCTGGTATTGCAGATAGCTATGTCATATAAATCCTTGTGTAGCATGAAATCTATTCTTCCACCAGTGTAAGTCAGGAGCAACATTCCTAATGTCAGTGAGCTATAGGAAGGGAATGAGAACTCTTAACTAGGGTAATGTATATGGAGAAAAGATCTGGAAAAAGATGCATGCTACACAAAATGAAATTCTGTTTGGACTTACTGACTTTCAATCACCGTACATTAAAGCTTTTATCACTTGGTAATCTGGAAACAGCTTTCCAGCTGCTAAAGGCTAAATGCTTATCTTTTATAAGTGCGCGCGCACACACACACATGTATCTTTTATGGAACTGAAAATTTACTGCATACCTGACTTCTGTTGATAAATGAAATCCACAACTGTGCTTTATTCCCTCAAATTCCTCCATATAGGATGGTCCGCACACTGTATGCCATCGGTGCTGTGTTTCTTCTGATGGGATTTCTGCTACCAGCAGCAGAAGGGAGAAAGAGGAATCGTGGATCTCAAGGTGCTATCCCTCCTCCTGACAAAGATCAGCCCAATGATTCAGAGCAAATGCAGACACAGCAGCAGTCGGGCTCTAGGCATCGAGAACGAGGAAAAGGTACCTCGATGCCTGCGGAAGAGGTGCTGGAGTCTAGTCAGGAGGCATTGCACATCACTGAGCGCAAATACCTAAAGCGGGATTGGTGTAAAACTCAACCCCTCAAACAAACTATCCATGAAGAAGGCTGCAACAGCCGTACCATTATCAACAGGTTCTGCTACGGCCAGTGCAATTCCTTCTACATCCCCAGGCATGTCCGTAAAGAGGAAGGCTCCTTCCAATCTTGTTCCTTCTGCAAGCCTAAGAAATTCACCACCATGACTGTTACACTCAATTGCCCTGAGCTTCAGCCCC